TCCTTCCTTCCTTCCTTCCTTCCTTCCTTCCTTCCTTCCTTTCTTTCTTTCTTTCTTTCTTTCTTTCTTTCTTTCTTTCTTTCTTTCTTTGTGCCTGTTTAACATTATGAGCTCACCTTAGATCCCTTCACCAGAAAAAAGGTGGACAGCTGTATGATGATACAGCTGAAAATAGTGATAATAATAAAGAGAATATAATTCATGAATATTACTTACTGTATAAAATTTGTTGTTGAAGTTCACAATTGGTGGTGGTGACAGTGCAAAAATTTGGATCCATTTGTAAAATTATGGAACTGGTTCCATTGTCAAGATGCCTCTGCCAGCAGTCTTCTTGCAAAACATAGGCTCGTATGTTTTAAAAGTACGTTTCAGAGATTCTCTGAACTGTTGTCCTCCAAATGTTTTAAAAACTCAGTGATCAAAGGCCACTCAGATGTATCCTTCACGATTTAGGAAATTTCTCAAAATAATTCTCTAAATCGTCTCAGAATGTTCCTGGCAAATACGGAGTACCTGTCATAAGACCCAACGGTGTTAAAATCAAATTATATTATAATTGGAGGGGGGAATAGCACAACACGGCTATTGTATAGTGGCAGGCTTCTGTGCTATTGCATAGAAGCACATTCTATTGAATGCACAGCATGATAGCACAGTGAACTGTCGGAATTATTTATTCCTGTCCTTGTGTATGATTTCAGACTGGCTGGCATTCTTCCTGAAGGTTACTGAAACCTGAAGGAGGCTATGCAGAGAACCTCTTTTTCTTTCATTGCCAAAAACTGCTCAGCCAAGTGGTGTTACTTTCCTGCCTTCCATTAAGCCTTTTTTTCCCTTGCAATCTCCTTGGAATTCATAATAGCTGTATAAGATGCATTCACCAAACACATCTCTTATAACACCATTTTCTTCCATGTGTTTCTAGGGAGTGCCATTGGCTTGATCCCCACTCCAGCCCATCTATGTACTTGGGGAGCCGAGCACATCTGCTGCACCAGCTGTTGGGGTTATCATTATTATGGGGGAGGGGAGAAAGGAAGTGACTTATAACAAAAGAAACCAAAAAAAGTGTGCTTTTTTTACCAGAAGGATCTGTTGGGAAGAAAGGACGTAGTAGCTAGCCATCTTGCCACAATATAAGAATGTTAATGAGAGATGGCTGTTGCAGGTGCTTTGGGATGGTGAAGAAAGTTCAATTAAGAAACATACACCCTCAAAAGATACAGCATTCAATGTTGCCTATCTGCTTCGGGGTTTAAAATTAACTCGTATTTAAATCTTGATACATCTGAAAAAGTGGATTGCAGTTTATAAAAGTTTTTTTTTCCTAATATTTCTTGTTTTCAGGGATTGGGGACTCAGGTCATAGGATTCATTGTCAAGTCGGACTTAAGTCGCACTGGAGACTTGGACTCAACTTTTTTTCAAGGACTTGGACTTGACTTATGACTTGGAACTCACCCACTCCTCCCTTTTTTTTCTCTGGAGAAAAAAGCTTGTTTATGATAGGGACTCAGTCAGACTCGGGGCTTGGGACTTGGTACCAAAGACTCAGACTTGGACTTGGGATTCGGACGCAAAGACTTGCCAACATCCCTGCTTGTTTTTATAAATGATGGTTATTTCTCTGGTACCTTCTTTTTACAATTGCTGCTGCTTGCAGAAACAATCCATTATGTTTACTGACTCAGTGTTTTGCCATCAACAGTCCTACACTTTGATTGGGCATCCGAGTTAAGTGTAATAACTACAGTATATAATTCTGTTATAGTAGAGAGAACATCATGTAAAACAGAGCGAGCTGGAACAGTAAAGTATAGTTGAGGGCAACTTACAAGGTTGATTTCCGATATTGGAGGGAAAGCCCTTTGAGAGCTCCGAAGGTGCCCATCGCGGCGGCGGGGGTCCCCAGGGAGGTCTCCTATGGTGGCAAGCAAGCTCTGGGAGATCTCCCTGGGGGTCCCCTCCACTGCGATCGGTGGCTTCGGAGCTCTCAAAGGGCTTCCCCCCCCTCCCCAGATGTCAGAGAAAGCCGTTTGAGACCTCTGAAACAAAAAAGGCAGGGAGAAAGGGCGGGAAATTGGAATTTCCAGCCCTTCCCCCCCCCTTTTTTTTTTTGCCTTTTGAAATGCTGGAACGGATTAATTCTGTTCCCATGCATTTCAATGGGAAATGGTACTATGACTTATGAACTTTCAACATGGGAACATTGTTCAAAAACAGATTAAGTTTGTAAGTCAGACCTCTGAAACAAAAAAGGCAGGGAGAAAGGGCGGGAAATTGGAATTTCCAGCCCTTCCCCCCCCCTTTTTTTTTTTGCCTTTTGAAATGCTGGAACGGATTAATTCTGTTCCCATGCATTTCAATGGGAAATGGTACTATGACTTATGAACTTTCAACATGGGAACATTGTTCAAAAACAGATTAAGTTTGTAAGTCGAGGTACCACAACTTGTCAAAGGATGCCAGTTCAATGGTTCATGCCCATCTCTTGTGAAAGGGAAAGAGGTACGTTTGTGGTGCTATATGGTTAAATATCTCACAGGCTATTAGATATACAAAGATATAACTTAATGCTTTTAGGATAAATAAATGGACAAATTAGAAGAAAATATATAGTGATGGTCAAATCTGTATTAATCTATATAGATATAGATATAGGATATAGGTAACTAGCAAAAGCCTAGGAAAGAGTTCTGCCTATATCTTGGACAGTGGGTTTTTTAAAATGGAGTAATGAAAAAAGATTAGTACTCATATAGACATTTGTGGGGAAGGAGAAACTGATAAATCTTTCAGGGAAAAAAAACACCACCATTTTAAATTTGCAATAACATATAGTTGTAACCATTACTGCATAACTTTCAATTTATACGTATAAATTAATAAAGGCCTTCCAGATGTCCGGTAAATGTCCTCATGAAATCGGTGTCTGCATTAATATTTGAACTGAAAAACAGACCAGGAATTCCATGAAAATCACTGGTTCATTGGTTCTGGTCAGTTCAGGTTTCTCAAGACCAAGGAATGTGAACTGACCCAAACCACAATTGTTTTTGTGATTCCACAAACATTCGGGTTTGTCCTCCTTGTCCCCACAGCCTGTCTCCCCACCCCCTTCCCACTGTCTCTGTTGCCTCCCTAGCTGCTCCTGTTGTCTCCTCCTTTTTCTCCTCCCCCGCCATCTTGAGACAGTGCCCTGCCTTCCCTTCTCGGAGCCAGTCCAGCTGTCTCTGCATATGCACCTGCCTATCATTCCCAAAGTTTGAGTGGTGCCCATCTTTCTAGATCATTAGAAATTTCTGTAGTTTGTTTAAATTCAATGTAATCATTTGAGAGAGGTCTTTTGGAGTCTAAATACCTAACTACCTAAATAATGTATCTGGAAACCAACAAAATTGACATTTAATATACAATGTAAATGTTCCATAATTATCCACTGGCATTAGTTCAGACTTTGACCAATTAGTTCTACATCCTGAGATTCTACGAAAATTATAATTATTTTTATTAATTCTGCTATAGATATTTACACTTTGCTAATTAATAGTAATAAATTATCTGCATATACAGCTAATTTAAATTCTGTTTGTTCATGAACAAAACCATCCACAAATCATCCGATTTTGTCTTAACAGCACACACTGATGGTTCCAAACATAAATAACAGTGGAGACAAGGGACAACTCCATCTTGTACCTTTCCCCAAATGAAAGGATCAGAAAGCCATCCATTAATCCTTACTTATATAAAAATTTAATCTGGTTTATTAATTCTTGCAGAAACCTAGATTTTTCTAAACTAACAAATCACCGATGTATTTTATCAAATGCTTTTTCAGCATCCAGTTAAAAGTAACTATAGTTCTAAGGAAGAACGTCTACAAGATGTAGTAATGTATTCCTGTATCTAAGTTTGTGTGATATATATTGCAGATGTGAAAGATAGAGATGGACACAAACCACCGAACTGGCAGTTTGTGCTGGTTCGTCCTTTGGCCAAACAGGTGTTCAACACTTCCCAGCCCCATTTCCTCCAGCGGGTGCTCACTCAGAGGCAGTGCCCTTGCTTTCCTACCGCACCTCCTCTGGGCACTGCCTCTGAGTGGGCACCTACCAGAGGAGGCAGGGCTGGGAAGTGCTGAAAACTTGTCAAAGGATGCCAGTTCAATGGTTCATGCCCATCTCTTGTGAAAGGGAAAGAGGTACGTTTGTGGTGCTATATGGTTAAATATCTCACAGGCTATTAGATATACAAAGATATAACTTAATGCTTTTAGGATAAATAAATGGACAAATTAGAAGAAAATATATAGTGATGGTCAAATCTGTATTAATCTATATAGATATAGATATAGGATATAGGTAACTAGCAAAAGCCTAGGAAAGAGTTCTGCCTATATCTTGGACAGTGGGTTTTTTAAAATGGAGTAATGAAAAAAGATTAGTACTCATATAGACATTTGTGGGGAAGGAGAAACTGATAAATCTTTCAGGGAAAAAAATATGGAATGTATTCATTGCTGGAGTGGATAAATGCCCAGCGATTTAGCATCGAGGACATTTTGACAGTTTGATGTAATGAACTCAGTTTGGGTGGAAACAGAAGCACTTCATATTTTTCCAACTTTGTCTTAGGTCACAGAGCTTGTATGATGTACTACAGAGCTAATATTTTTATCTGAAAATAAATTTTAAATAAACTGAAAAGACTGCTAGGCTGGATAGGCTATTTATTTCACTTGGGAAAAGCAGTTTCTTGTGTTGTATGTATAGATGTATATATTTCACAATATTATATAGATCACAAATAGGAAGCAGAACATTCCTTGCTTTTGACCTCCCAGAGGCGCCGCTTTGGAAACCTAAAAAGAAAAGAAAAAGAATGCTGAATAAATGGATCTGAGTAAAATAGATAATTATCCTTATTCATCATGGATTACAATTTCTTTGTCTAGTTAGATCAGAAATAAATGCTACCGTGCAGACTGTATCCTGAAATACTACCTAGATTCCTTACTTAAATGCATTGATTAATAGAAGCCAAGTGACAAGATAAAGGATTGTTAAGGATAGCTAGAGAAGATCCTGAAATGTTCATTACACAAGTTAAGAGCTTTTAAAACAGGATTTTCAGAATGACTTAGTGATCCCTGATTGCACAGTTCCTTTTGAAGTCAAGGAGACTGACTTATGTTCTCTTTTCTAGCAATGACAGGAAGAAGTATAGCACTTTTCCAAAAAACAGTTCTGTACAAATCCTCTTTAATGTTGAACAGTGCAGCATTTTAGCACAGATGAATAAGACACCCCCCTCCCACTTTATGGCAATAATAAGTAAACTGTTATTTTGAATTTTTGTAAGAACTAGGAAGTGGGGTGTAAGTAACAATAATATTGCCTGAAGATTCTATTCTGGGATGTCCTGCTGAGACCAGCCACTGAAACATTTGCTTAGGTATAATATCACTATTGTTTCATCTGTGTAGAGGTGCTGGAGCATAACATTTTTGTATGTTTTTTTATAATGATAACAGCTGGTAGGGGAAGAATTGTGAATTTTCTGTCATGAAGGTATAGCACTTTGGATATGCTTAAAATACAAATCCCTTGGACTAGGGCTCTGGAGACCTGAGAGGAGGAGAGCCATATATGTTTTCTCGCGTTCACTGGAGGGAAGATGGGATATAAATGTAACTTCCAAGCTCATAGCTTTGCTGCTTAAGTTTTAGAATGAAACGTTTGCTGGGTTTTAGCTTTGGGGAGTAGAATATTGTTTGGTGTTTTTGAACCTTGTCCATATTTGGCTCAGCTATCTGAGATGATTAGTAAAGAGTAATAGCCCCTTCTGAGAACCAGTCAAGAAGAGTCTCCATCATTATAAAGTTGGTGGTAACCTCTGTGTGTGGGATGGAGCTGTGTTGTAAATTCCAGGACTCAAGATTAATTTCTTCAAGACAAATACCAAAATTGTTAGGCACTTCTTCAGCTGACAAAGAACATTTTAAGTTGCTGGACACCTGCATCACATTGATAAGATTTTCATAGCTGCTTCCTTACACTTGAGTTGTGGTCCACTGCAATGATAAAACAAACAAACAAACCAAGAATTTATTAAGGGGGATGTATTTTATTTTCTTCCAAGATTCCTTGGCTTTTAGTTTCAAGTTAGTGTCCTGTTACCTCATAATAAATACTGTTTCATCAAGCTGGTTGTTTCTCTGCTTTGCACAACACTGCTTCACAGGTTAAGAATGCAATCCTCACATATTTACTTGGGAATATGTCTGTTGAACTCAGTGGATTTTAATTCTGAGTACATAAGTTTCCATAGAAAGAGTGGGTTGTATACAAAGAGGGTTAATCTCATTTTATTCTTAGGTTGTAATCTCCAGTTATGTTTTTCTCTCTTCACCCATCTTATCCTAATCACGTGTACATCAATGTGCACTGCATAGTTTAACAGTATGTCTTCCACTACAAAGATCTTTGTCCTTTAAAAAAAAAATTTTTAAGTATTTAATTTTTTTCCTACATACAAAACACACACACACACACACATTTTTAAAAAAAATTAAGTATTTTATTTTTTCTACATACAAAACACACACACACACAAGAAAACAAAAACAATACAGATAAAATAAAAAACAAAACAAAACCCCACACATGTAGGCAGGGGGGAGGCATTTCCATACAATATTATCCATTCTTAAAAATCTGTCTGCATCAACCTTATTGCTCTATAAAAATTCCAAGTATGATCCGTCCTAAGATTGTACTAATTCTAATAATTATTTCTCTCACATCCTTGGCCACCAGTTGTTCCTCAGAATATCCATGCTACCATCATGAAAGATCCGCATTTCAACAACAAACAACACCATAAGAAAGACAAACCAGAGCAAAACCACAAAATAATATATCTAACACTGGCTACTTAATCATATTATATTTCATATGTGCTTAATGTCTTCCTATAAATGCATTAAAATTAAATGATCTCCTACACTATATTAGCTTCAGTTTACAATATGCAAATATGAATTCCATATCAAAATTTCACATGGTATCAATTACTTGAGAGAATAAGTATGTTATATATATCTCACCTTATAAATTTAAGCATGTTGCAGTTCATGGGTATTTTGTTTCTTTAAATATGTGCCTTAAAATCATCAATTTCTGATGTTATATATCATAAACAAAGTCACATGGTATATTTATCTAGCTTAATAATCTCCAATGCTCTATTAAACTCTATTTTACATATCCAAATTTTACCTTTCATCAGTAATTCAAATATTATCCAGATCTCTTATGACATTATTAACCTACAGTTGATTTGCATCTTAAAGTATACCTTAAAATCCTTCATTTCTAATATTATATTCATCATACATATTTCAGCTTACACAATTAATAATTCTTAATTGTCATTTATTCCCAAACATAATCAGAATCATTTTATTGTTGTATTCATCAGTTGGGTTTGAAGCTTGGTAGCCGCTTCAGGATTACACTATCTTCTTTAAAATCAGCCACTTAAGTTTATTTTTTTGTCCTTTATCCTTTATTGTTGCTTTTAAGTTTAGATGGCTGTCATGTAATTTCATTGTCAACCAGGTTGTTGATCCTGCTTCTAGGAAACTGAATGGCTATAGCTATCCTTTCCCTCACCGTTCTTGTTTGTTTCTCATTCATAATTTGTGGCATTTTCCCTTGACACTCTTGAAGAAAAACAAACTGGTGTGGTTCCATAAATATTTATAAAAAGGAATCATCTCACTGGTCCTAATCTTTTAACAAGAATCTTCTAACAAGCATAATTTGTTGGCAGTTCTATCTTTTACTTGCATAATCTAAAATAATATCATCTTAACACTGCATTTGTATGTAATTCGGAAATATTCAGAACAATCTGTCATAACATAGCAGGGAGATTGTAAATTGAACTTTATGTATATTGCATCTTCAATTGCAAAAAATAGGGTCATAAATTTAGTGTTGCAGTGGTAATTGCAAAAAAATGCTGAATAGCATATGAATTAATCTTCATTTTCACACTGTAAACTAAATATTTTTGGTATCATCTCCTTGTTTGCTTGTTGTAAAATTGAGCTGAAAAGTCACCTCTAAAGCTATGAGTGTATTACATACATATAATTGTTTGGGTTTCTTTTGTGTGTATATAGTCCTATACACAGTACACTTGGAACATAGAATTGGACTATAATTCTATGAACAAAATAGAATTAAGTCCTGACACAAACGGGTTCAATTTCTTAAGTGTTTGAAAGCAGTTCTACAAATAAACAATGGAGTGCCTTAGTCCTTTGCACTGTTGAAGCCGTTTCTGAAGTACCCTGAATTTCAGATGAACGATTATGAAGTAGGGGAACACTCCCTGCCTTAATATCGTTGGTTGTACCATGGTGTTCACAGGATTTTACTACCTTGCCTGGTTGTCCAGTTTGGGAAAGGGACAAAAAGTCAATCTTCAAAGGCAAAATGGATATTAGAAAGCAGCCAGAAGCTCAAAATGTTATTTGCACTTGCATATTAGTCATCTTCATCATTCACCCATATTCATGATGATACAGCTCTAGCTGTAAATGGCTGAAATGCATTTGAGTCGAGTGGAATGCCAGCAGCCTGCCTGGTTTTCTGGAAAAAGAGATAGTGGAAGAGTCCAAAGAAAGGTGCTAAGTCAATGATCTGTGAGCAGTCTGGCAGATACCAAGAGCAACAAACTGAAAGGAAGGGAGGGTGGGGACTGTATCTTCTAAAAGCATGACAACCAGAATTGGTAAGCAAGGTTCGTGTAATGGTGCCATTTCCCCCACCAAAAAATTGACAGCCGGAGTTGCTGGTGTTGTGCATCCTTGGCAGGAAACAGAAGGTGCTCGTGGAAGCTCCCATTATGTGTCTGTGAAGATCGGTCTGGTTCTGCAGAATTTCAGGGAATCCTTTGACCAGGTGTTCCAGTATTCCTCAGCCTGGAATTTGCATGCAGTAAGGAAAAGATAATCTGCTTCTTTGCTTTGCATAATCACCCATTAAATTGAGACACCTCTCTTTTTCATCCACTTGAATCTCTTTCTCACAATAAAAGTCAGTTTCCCTAATCTCCTTTTTGAAGATTTCACCCTTCTTTGTTGCTCTTCCTTGTGCTGCTAAAGTGGGCTGATCTGTTTGTGTTTCAGTTTCAGTCTGCTGTTCTGCCAAAAAATTCCAATAGTCCGTGTCGTTTCCTTCATCTCTGAAAGCACAGTCTGGAGTTCGGAAAATTGAGTTTTAAGATGGTTGAGAATGTTCCTTTGCAAGTTCTGAAAAGCATTTATTATATCTTCTGTAAAATTCATCGTGATTACAAAGTAGATGGTTAAAGATGCTTCCTAATTTCCAAATATACACCTCATTTGAAGAAACATTCCTTGTTATAAAAATACCCTCCAACTTGGCTTATTTGCTTCTTCCAACCGAAAGCCATAAAGTACTTAAGTAGTAAAAGTCAATTCCTCAGCAGAGCTAATGATTTATACTGTCCCAGACTCCGGCTTTCACCAAATAGCTTTGATTGTAAATTGTCGAATCGGTCATAATAAACTTCCATTAAGTTAAAGTCCACCTCTGGCAGCATCTCCTTAAACCTTCTTCTCTTTCCTTTTTTAAAAAAATTATTATTATAAAAGTTCATAAGAGTAACTATGAGTTGTTCTCACCGAGGACAGGGGATAGATAACGAAAGTCTCTGTCCTTATCAGCTCCAACTCCTGTTTTCAGGCATGACCCAGTAATAAAATACCGATCAAAATACCGATCTGTTTGGGTTTGAAGCTTGGTAGCTGCTTCAGGATTGCACTATCTTCTTTAAAATCAGCCGCTTAAGTTTATATTTTTTTGTCCTTTATCCTTTATTGTCGCTTTTAAGTTTAGATGGCTGTCATGTAATTTCATTGTCAACCAGGTTGTTGATCCTGCTTCTAGGAAACTGAATGGCTATAGCTATCCTTTCCCTCACCGTTCTTGTTTGTTTCTCATTCATAATTTGTGGCATTTTCCCTTGACACTCTTGAAGAAAAACAAACTGGTGTGGTTCCATAAATATTTATAAAAAGGAATCATCTCACTGGTCCTAATCTTTTAACAAGAATCTTCTAACAAGCATAATTTGTTGGCAGTTCTATCTTTTACTTGCATAATCTAAAATAATATCATCTTAACACTGCATTTGTATGTAATTCGGAAATATTCAGAACAATCTGTCATAACATAGCAGGGAGATTGTAAATTGAACTTTATGTATATTGCATCTTCAATTGCAAAAAATAGGGTCATAAATTTAGTGTTGCAGTGGTAATTGCAAAAAAATGCTGAATAGCATATGAATTAATCTTCATTTTCACACTGTAAACTAAATATTTTTGGTATCATCTCCTTGTTTGCTTGTTGTAAAATTGAGCTGAAAAGTCACCTCTAAAGCTGTGAGTGTATTACATACATATAGTTGTTTGGGTTTCTTTTTTGTGTATATAGTCCTATACACAGTTCACTTGATACATAGAATTGGACTATAATTCTATGAACAAAATAGATTTAAGTCCTGACTCAAACGGATTCAATTTCTTAAGTGTTTGAAAGCAGTTTCACACATAAACAATGGAGTGCCTTACTCCTTTGCACTGTTGAAGCCATTTCTGAAGTACCCTGAATTTCAGATTAACAATTATGAAGTAGGGGAACACTCCCTACCTTAATATTGTTGGTTGTACCATGATGTTCACAGGATTTTACTACCTTGCCTGGTTGTCCAGTTTGGGAAAGGGACAAAAAGTCAATCTTCAAAGGCAAAATGGATATTAGAAAGCAGCAGCCAGAAGCTCAAAATGTTATTTGCGCTTGCATATTAGTCATCTTCATCATTCACCCATATTCATGATGATACAGCTCTAGCTGTAAATGGCTGAAATGCATTTGAGTCGAGTGGAATGCCAGCGGCCTGCCTGGTTTTCTGGTTTTCTGGAATAAGAGACAGTGGAAGAGTCCAAAGAAAGGTGCTAAGTCAATGATCTGT